CAAGGAGCAATTATCACAGTTGAGTAATGGAAAGCATTCCCCCCCCCATTTTTTCAACAAAAAAAAACCCCAATAGTGCTAGGTTATTTCCTTTATGCACCTAGTAGTATTAAGGGCTTTATATACTGCATGATCCAATCCAATTTCACCTAGTTTTACTTTGACTAAAGAATGCCTATAATTTATTGAAGCATTAGTTTGAATACAAATTACTTTCACCTTGCAGCAAGAGTACATAAGAGGAATCAGTGCCTGGAATTTCAACTTAGAGGACTTGAAAAGTCAGGCTGCACTTGTAAGTAGCTTAAATTTCCCATGTCTTTTCCCCCTTTTTATTTATCTGGAGGTAGTCTGAGAACTGCTTCATGATCTTAATATCAGACTGCATGATCCAATCCAATTGCACCTAGTTTTACTTTGACTAAAGAATGCCTATAATTTATTGAAGCATTAGTTTGAATACAAATTCCTTTCACCTTGCAGCAAGAGTACATAAGAGGAATCAGTGCCTGGAATTTCAACTTAGAGGACTTGAAAAGTCAGGTTGCACTTGTAAGTAGCTTAAATTTCCCAGGTCTTTTCCCCCTTTTTATTTATCTGGAGGTAGTCTGAGAACTGCTTCATGATCTTAATATCAGACTGCATGATCCAATCCAATTGCACCTAGTTTTACTTTGACTAAAGAATGCCTATAATTTATTGAAGCATTAGTTTGAATACAATTCCTTTCACCTTGCAGCAAGAGTACATAAGAGGAATCAGTGCCTGGAATTTCAACTTAGAGGACTTGAAAAGTCAGGCTGCACTTGTAAGTAGCTTAAATTTCCCATGTCTTTTCCCCCTTTTTATTTATCTGGAGGTAGTCTGAGAACTGCTTCATGATCTTAATATCAGACTGCATGATCCAATCCAATTGCACCTAGTTTTACTTTGACTAAAGAATGCCTATAATTTATTGAAGCATTAGTTTGAATACAAATTCCTTTCACCTTGCAGCAAGAGTACATAAGAGGAATCGGTGCCTGGAATTTCAACTTAGAGGACTTGAAAAGTCAGGCTGCACTTGTAAGTAGCTTAAATTTCCCATGTCTTTTCCCCCTCTTTATTTATCTGGAGGTAGTCTGAGAACTGCTTCATGATCTTAATATCAGACTGTTTCACACGCAGATTCATGAGTATGATGATATCCTGAATGCAGAAGATCAAGAGGGGAGCAAGAAGCAAAGGGACATGCATGATGTAGTCGGATTATCACCAGAAAAGCTTGTCATTCCATTGCTGCAACTAGTCAGGAGGTAACATAAAAAATGGTTTCTGTATGATTAATTTGTCTGTGCTTCAATCCTTCTTTGATTCTCTGATTAAACTTGAGCTTCCAAATTTAAACTTTCCTTTTACTTGTTTCAGGAAGGGCTTAGTGGTCTTCAAGATTTGGAGAGTTCACTTGCTTCATTTCCTATTAAACCTCTTCAAGCACTCAAGTATGACATTTTTATGCTTGCATGATCTTGTTATTGCAAGCAATTTATTGTTACAACATTATAAGTTGAATATCATTTTTCACATCCAAAGGGATTATAGATTGCAATTTTTCAAATAGAAAGTGGTACTCTGTCACATGCTTAATCGATCAATTTTCAATTGATCTTTTTGTAGTAACTTCTGCAAATATTTTAAGAAAAAAATATGATATATGTTAGAGTGATTACATTTTCTAGGAAAAAAGAGGGGTTGAGATTCAAATTGATTTCAGTAATTTAGTTTTCCTTTATTTATGAAAATATTTTATGATTGGAGCAGAGGCTATTTTGACGTTGTTGAAGATGACGAGGGTGCAAATAGTCCAAATCAGAAAGGTGTTACCCAATTAGAAAGTGAGTTCATTACAAACTCATCAAGAGCTATGGACCAAGATGTTGGAAGATATGAGGTGAGAATTTCCGGCAAAGTATCTCTTTACCACGTCAGGTGATTCCACAGCATAAAAAGTTTTGGAGCGGTTCACTGATACCTGATAACCTTCCTCCCAACAATGTTACAGGAAATGGGGATAGGTAAGCTTTGTTCTAATTAATCCCGAGGCTCAAAACTTCCACCAAACATGATAGAATGCTTAAAACCTTTGAATTATCACACGTCTTTTTCCCTTTATAAAGCTCTAGATATGATGAGATTTTTAATTCTATAGATTGCATTTTTTTTCTCTTCTTTCATTAGTGTTTTATATTTTTATTTATTCCTCTAGAGGATCCCAATATGTATGATGTTGGGCACATGGACTTTCTTCTTCACTTGGCTCATCGATTCTGCTATTCTATAGTTAAAAGGATAATTGTTGCACTGTATTTGCCATTTACTGGGAAGATTTTTATGTCATCTGTATTAATTCTGGTTTATCAAAAACGTTCCCAAGGGACTTCCTACAGCCTAAATTTCAATCTGAACTCAACCACAGTGGTCCATTGTTGTACCGCCGGAGGAGAGAAACAAATAAGACCTCATCTGGTATTTCCTGGTTTTATTTTCTTCAGTTTCAACTTAGAAGTGATGCTACTTATTTGCAGTCTAATGAACTTAATTTGATTTCTTTCCTGCTTCTTATGTATCAGAGGATGCATTGGAGGGACCAGTTGTTCAACGGGGATGTTTTAAGGTGACTTCAGCTGATCTCAGTCCTAAGGTACAACCTTCTGCTGTTGCACAATAACATGTACAGCACCGTTTGGAATTGATTTATATTGTCGGTACTAATCAGCAGCACAGTTGGTCTCAATTTGGTAGGCATCATGTAGCATGCTGCATTAATACATCCTACACCATTGACTTCAGTATCATATCTAATAATTCTGCTAAAGGGCAATGTCCTTAACAATTCCTCTTTTGTTTCTTCTAGTATGGTTTGACTCATATAAGTACATTTCATGTGCGTGTCCTGCTGGATGCAAGTTATCTAATTTTAATCTGTAATATTCGTTGAAGATGAATATTAAGTATGGAACTTTGCAATTTATCTTTTAGGCAATGGCTTTAAAACCAATGCCATTGTTTTCTCTCATATAGGGACCGTCAAACTGCAGTTTTAGCCCCGCTACTGGAGGTTTAACCAGCCCAACATCTCTAAACACGACAACTAGTTTATTTCTGCCATCCCTACAAAGTATCTTGCAACATAATACCTTGCAAAGAGTATGTTTCTTTTAGTATGTATTGTCTCAATTCTTTCAAATAGAGATTGCTCGACTTAAATGTGTTTATATCGGTGTTGGTTTTGCCTTCAGGAAGAGATCGTTAGACTGATCAAGTATTTGGAGCAACATCTGGTAATGCCACTGTATTTTGATGTCTGCATTTTCTGCCCGCTTAATCATGAAAGAAATTATGATATTAAATTTAACTTCTCTTACTTAAAGGCAAGTTTGGGGACTCAGCTGAGGAGGGCTCGAATGACCTTTCACAGGTAATCAATCAAACCTCTACTTCACACTCCGGTGAACCCTTAAGTGCTTTCTTAAGGTTAATGCCCCATGCTGTAATTACCTGATTATGTATTGATTAATTGTATGTGCAGATACAACCACCTTCTGCAAGGGAGAAAGTGCTGCAATCACAGGTGCTTCAGCAACAACAGAGGTACGAAATGAAAGCTAAGACTGCCGGTTTTCTTTCTTCATGCACGTTTTACGGACTGTATTTCGGTTTTCAGCATTGGGAACCTTTCTGAGGAATTGCAGCAGCAGAAATCGAAAAACATGCTGGTTTGTGAACGAACTCGCTCTTGTTGTTTCGGTTGCAATAGATATTCCATTTTTGTCTACCCACTGGGAACCAAATTCATTTGTACTTCCCGTAATCACCTTGCAGTTAGAGAAACAATTAAATGCATCAACCGACAACCAACAGTGAAGGCAAGAGATAAATTTGGGGTGATGATTTTCTATATATGAAGCTGCCGGATTATTTTGTCTTCAGTGCCAGGGTTCGTAAGGTTTCAAAAGGTTGAGGCATGGAAGTGTTTCATTTTAATGTAATTTGTAGTGCACCATATCCATGGCCAAGGTTGAGTTTTAAGCTGTACTTACAAATTGAGATCCCATTGCTTGAATCTCAAGGTACTTGAAATTTATTGACGCTATATTGTAATACGATTACAATCTGTTTATTGCAATATTCGCTCTTTGAACATGAAAAAAAAAACAATTGAAAGCTTGATAGTCGAAGAACTTTAATATATACATAAAAAATCGAAGTATAATGTTAAACTTCAAACTGGGCTTCAATAAAGTTTGAAGAATAGAAAGCTTGATATTTGAAGGGCTCAGAGAGTTGCTGTTTCTGCTCAACGAAAATGCTTTGAGAAAAGCTTCTCTCATACAAGAGGTGTCAGAAATTATAAAGCTCTCTTCACCTTCGCCCTCTTACCAATTAGAAGAAGGAAAAAAAGACTTACGAAATTAATCAAAGAATGAAGAATGGTGGAGAGGTGAAGCAACGGAGCTCATGTCGGCTTTGAAGATTTAGGGTTTTCTGGCTTAGACTGTGAGAATTGTTGGATATTAGTAGCTTCATTTATTGGCCTTTTGGGGCCAGCAGCTGTTGAGATTAATATTTGGGAAAAGCCTAAAAGGGCCCAAATATTTTAGTTTTGGTGCCGAAAAGGCTTTTCTATTTAACGCAATAGTTCTGAATAAATATTAGCATATATTATTTTTAAAAAATTCTTTTAAAATGAAATTATTGCCTAGACTTTTGAGATTTATCCTTAATATTTTATATCCTAGACTTTTAAGCAGGGCTCACCGGTTATTGTAACTGCCAAAGTGCACAATAGCAATCCCTGCTAAATTTTTATGTAAATTGCGCGCTCTCCCACGTTTTAACCTCTACCTCGCTGAGCCCTTTTTCATTTGAGTCTTGAAAAGATAGACAGTTCCAAGAACAGCTTAGAGAGACAAACAGAAATCGAGTGCCGAGTAGTTATTCAGTGAGTAGGAAGTAGAAAAATGGCAACAGGAAGCGCGGCAAATGTGACTCGGATAATGTTGGCAGTGGACGTGTCAACTATGGTTGGTTACCCTATCGCTTGCATAAGTAGCTTAGGAGCTTTTAAGTGGGCTATTCAAAAGATCGTTCGATCGAACGTTTCTGATTTCGAGCTTCTCCTCCTCCATGTTCCATCTGATCAAGCTTTCTGTAAGCGCGTGATTGTATTAGGGTTTTCTAGACTATGTGATAATGCTGTTCGTGTTTGTATGCTTGAATTTGTCGAAATCACTTTGATTTTCTGATTTATGAATGGCGGATGTTAGGTTTGATTGATCGTTTCTTGAATCTTTTGATAGGTTGTTTGGTTGCAAAGAAAATAAATTGTTTGACCACTGATAAAAAGAAAACCAACGTTTGCACTGATGTTAAAAGCATGCAAATGCATTTTGGAATAAAATACCGATCGTTTCTTGAATCTTTTCAAAAAAAAAAAATTGGCTTGATAGAGTTGCAGATACTAGTTCAAAGTATAGCAATAACATTTATAGGCTTGGCATGTTTAAGCTTCGGGTCTGAAACTATGAACTCCCATGGGAGGGCAGATATTGTACTGCTTCGTTTGGTTACAAAGAAAATAATCTGTTTGGAATGAACTCCCAAAGAAAGTCAAAAGATTTTTCATTCAATAAAGAAATTTTGGAATGAATTGCCGATTGTTTCTTGAATTTTTAGAATCAGCCAATGAGTAATGATAGGTACTGAAGTTATGGTTTATTCTTTCGACGTGTTCTTTTCCATCAGGTGGCGGCGACATTGGCAAAATATATACGTCTCCCGAGTGTTTCGAGACCATGGAGTCCAGAGACCATGCGAGAGGTCTTCATTTGCTGGAATACTTTGTCAAAAGGTGTAAAGAGATTGGGGTAATCTTTCATTCCTCAACAGATTATCATTCATAAGTATAACTAAACATTTGAATGTTTTAGTTCCCCCGGTATGATAAAATTTTGCCCACTCTAGGTTGCTTGCCAGGCCTGGATCGTGACAGGCGATCCGAAGACTGCTATCTGTCTCGAAGCAAGGAGGATCCAACCTGATCTCCTTGTCATGGGTAGTAGAGCACTCAGTCTTGTCTATCTGTACGTTTTCATCCCTTCACTCTCCAATATTCGAGATACTTGTCCCTAGAAGAAGTTAATTTGGTGTTTGGTTTGTCCAGGTCTATCGGTACATCTGTGAGTGACTTTTGTTTGAAGCATGCTGAGTGCCCCGTTGTACGCATCAAGCGCAGACCAGATGAAGCACCACTAAACCCTCTATATGACTGAATTTGTTTCAAAGGCTGTGGATTTTCTCATTGTCTTTACAGAATTTGTTTCAAAGGCTGTGGATTTTCTCATTGTCTTTACAGGTACCCTGTTAGACGAGTAAATTTGTTTCACGGTGGTAGTTTTGAGTTGATGAAATTGCATAATCCTTTCTGATGCTTTACCTAAGCTTATGCAAGGCCATGGATGAGTGAATGGTAACAAGAACTAAAGGACCATGCCTATATCAATATATAGAATCCTAATTCATGTAACACCAGATGGCAAACTTCAACATCAATAAAATCTTATCAGCAGGTAATATCCTTAAACCAGAGAATAGATAATTAGTAAATAGAAAAAAAGGATGCAAGTTACTTTATCCAACGTGTCTTTATACCTCACTCTGTGCTTCGGATTAATTTCTGAGGACACCATTTCATGCTGATATCTGCATGTGGTCATTCATGAACCCTGATGGTGTTCATATATTTTATGGTAGTTACTTTTAACATGTCTAGCATTAATGCGAGCTTCTTAAGTTTGCATAGACAGACGTTGTAATCAGACACAAAGGGCATTTAGATTTTGGATAGACAAGAGATTGTGATTTGAAGAACAACTCGAATTTGCAACCTTATCCAATAACGAAATATCAAACTAGCAATGTCCTAGTTTCATTTAGCCAAGTTCATCCGTAAAGGAGGAATTCAATTGAGCATTTTAACAAACAGAACTGACGCAAAACAAGATGACCCTCGAAAATGTAGACTCTCTACGCAATAGAAAATTTAGCTCCAGCTTCTTCAAGCTGTTTCTTGGCATCGTCAGCCTCCTCTTTCGAAACCCCTTCCTTGAACTTCTTGGGCAACCCTTCAATCAGCTCCGTCGCTTCTTTCAATGCCAAACTCGTCAGACCCTAACCGCTTTAATCACCGCAATCCTCGCATTGCTGGGAACCTCCTCAATCACTACATCGAACTCCGTCTTCTCCTCCACAACGGTGGTTCCAGCACCGCCTGCATCAGGGGCGGCAACCGAGACGGCGGCAGGGGCAAATGCAGCGGCGGAAACACCGAGTTTCTCCTGGAGGAAGTCAACAAGGGTCCGAGCTTCTTCGAGGGTTAGGTTGGAGATTTTGGTGCCGGGCTTTTCGATCTTTTCGGGAGCTGCGGTGGCGTTGAGAGGACGGAGGTGAGGCGGGCGAGGTTAGAAGGGGCGGCGAAACGGAGAGGGAATTGGAGAGAAAGGGTTTTAGGAAGGAGAGAAGAAGAAGAAGTAGTAGTAGGTGGCGGATAAGACGGGGAACGGAGAGAAAGAGATGAAGCGTTGAGGAAGCCATTTTTTATCTTTTCCTCTGTTTGGATTGAAAGGAGATGCAGAGGGATTCGGATAAGGTTGAAAGGAAATGGGGAGTGAGTGTACAGTGAATATAAAGTGAAACAACTGTTGTCGAAAAAAAGAAAATAAAAGGCAAAAACAATTGGGGGCGTTCAGAGAATCGAACTCGGAACCTCTCGCACCTAAAGCGAGAATCATACCACTAGACCAAACACCGGGCTTACTTTTTATAAACATTTTTTATATTTATATTAATATTTGTGGGGGATGGTCAATTATTGTGAGTATATTTATGAAAATATAAACCTCCAAATTATAATAGTATGATATAGATAGCATTATCCAGTGATTTATTTAAAATAAAAAAAAATATAAAAAATTGAATAATTTTAAATTTTACATATAATATTCTAAAATTTATGATTTTTATAAATTTCATGATATAATAAATTATGACATTATAATATAATCTATTTATATCATATTCTTTCGAATTCAAATTATTACAATATAAAAGTGACAGGGAACAAAAGTTTTGATGAACATATAATTTTACATTGAGTAACAGCTTTGAATAATCAATTGAAAAACTGCAAAGCAATCACAGACAGACAAAATTTCAATGCTATCATTGGAACAAAGATGTTACAAACGAAATATAAAGTAGCTCAATTATGGCTGAATTTTATTTATCTTATTTTGTTTGCTTTCTACAAATATCCAAACATGAAAATAAAAAGATACATTTCTTTTAAATATTTGAAAAAGCAAATTAAAGACCCACAAAAACGAAGAAATCGATTTTATTTCAGCAATATGCAAATGCCGCTATTGATGCACCCAAAACAATGCATATGGTGGAAGGGCTTTTCCACGGTAAGGCCATAACTGCCTTCTTCAATCCGAGATTTTAGGCTCGGATCAGGGGTGAATCGAAGGACTTAGGTGAAAGTGATCATCTCTTAAAATTTTTATGATTTTATATATTTTTTATTTTTTAACTAAAAATATATTTTCACATCCCTAAACTTTTATAAATTTCTTTTTTTTTATAGAAAGTCGTTAGTTTGATTAACAATAAAAAATATCCAAAATTACAATAAAGATTTACAAGCATAACCGGTAAACCTAAAATATAATTATGATATTTTCCTATTATCATTCACAAAAAAACAAACCACCTAGATCACATAAGGACTAAAGAAAGAAAATTTTTAAAAAGACTCGAATAAAATGAATATACGAACAAATTTGACTGCATCGGTAAACGAACCATAAAAGGGTATGAAGCTACTGAAACACCACCGACAAATCGCAAATCAGAATCAAGCGACGTGAGAAAACTATTCACAAACACAAAACGCGTATCCAAATCAATCCGAGAGTCCATAGCAAAGAAGATCATCATGATAAAAAAAAAAAGCGTTATCTTGATCAGTCGTGACCATGATGTCAAATCCAACACTGAGAAAAAATAAAAACAACGACAAAAAATCGTAAACAATAACAAAAAATCGTAAAATACTAAAAAAATATAAAAACATGTCACAATGACAGAGATAAATATGTCATAAAAGCAGAGAACATGTCACAAAGACATAATTATTCTTATTAAAAAAATTAATATTAAAATTGATATCTTCGTCATTTAAATAAAATAAAAAATAAATTAATAAATAAAATTAACACAAATTATTAATAAAAAAAAAGAAAGCGGCTAGTTTAACTATTAATATTAAAAAAATAATAAATTTAGTCTCTCTTAAAACTTAATAAATTTATCTATTAACATCAAATATTGCGTCGGTCCCTGATTTAAATTCAGATTCGACTGTTTTCAAAGCAGAGTTTGATACGCTGCTAGATCCTCAACCACTGTCACCCCTTCTAAACTAAAAGCAAACCAAAGTTAGCCCATTTTGATGAGGTGTCAGCTTCTTAGACCCAGGCCCCATTTATGTCCAACAAGAAGTCCGACCCATAATAATAATAATAATTATTATTATTACTATTTTCAAGATTCTAACTGAGTTTAATGTCATCATATACTAATTTATTTAGAAATTATTAATTTGTTTATATTTAATGGTATAAATGTATAATATATTATTTTAATGGTATCTTCATTTTTTTTATATCTCTTATATAGAAAATTAAAAGTCACTACTTAGGAACTAAACATGTGACTAATAGTGGATTAAAATATAATTATTCACCACTATGGATAAGATTTTTATGGAGTAAATAGAAGTAATAATAATAAATAAAATCTCCATAACAACTGAAACAAGAGAATGCTTTAGAATTTATTTTTGGGTTCATGATTTTTCCGAAATGAAAAAGAAACGTTTATTTCTACAAAAATGTAACATTTTGTGTCCGTTTCAAATGGAAAATGTCACAATTAGATAACGAAGCTTGAATGAGACTAATAAAAAATCAATCGAACGTTTATTAAACATATCGAGTACACAATCAAGCATTTAAGACAATTTTGTTCATAACTTAGAACCACATTGATCAAAGAAGCAATTAAACCAAGCAATGTACACTACTCAAACAATTCTGACATTTTAAGCCCAGATAGGTAGCTCTATACTTTGGATTGATACCTTGTCTAGGAGTATCGATATTTGTAATTTACCATTGACATATACAAATATCTAAGAGTATGGATATCCTTAATTTACTCTAGACATACAAATAGCAAGGATGAGTCTGCAATGCACCTCACACACCGCAATATACCACTAAAGCAACGTACTGAAACGTATCACTAATTAAATTCACTTTATTAAGTAAATAACAAAAGGATAAATTCTACGTTTAGTACTTACACTATCATTTTTACTTCGTTTTAGTACCTAAATTTTCTTCTTCTTTTTTTAAATCATTAACGATAATGAGATGTGGCATGACATGCCAATTTTTTTAATTTCTACATCATTTTTTTATTTCTCCATTAATATGTTTAATTAATTTTATTCAACCAATAAAATGGTAACACGTGTCACCGATTATGAGGATAAAATAAAAGATATTATTCTTGCACTTAGCATGAATTGAACCTAGGCATGTTACATGAAATGCAAGATACTCAACCATTGAATTAAGCCAATTATTTTTATTAATTTTATCATATTTTGTATTTAACTTATATAATAATATCACCACAAGATCAATATTTTCCGATGATTACAACATTTGAGTACGAGACACTTTAAATTAATGATCGAAAGTTTAGTCATTCATCTATAATGTGAATATATTTTTATTAGAGAAAATAACCTCAGTGAAAAAAAAATGTCTTATAATATACGAATTTAACCAACTTTTTTTGGATTTTCCAAAATGACCAACAAATTGGCAACGCGAATTCCAATTTCGCAACGCAAATATGTAAATCGCATTGCGATTTTCCAAATTCTCGTTGCGATTTTCCAAATTCGCGTTGCGATTTTCCAAATTCGCAACGCGAAAGTCAAATTCGCAACTGAATTTCAAATTCGCAAAGCGAATTTAATTTCGCAACAGGTTTTAGTTTCGCAACACAAATGTTTTGGGTATATAACAACGCAGCAGCAACTCATAACCTAAATCCCTAAATCGCAACTCATTCCATCTCCATCTATCACTCTCTCTGGCGACATCCGTTCCTATATCCAACGACATCCTTCCCC